CCACCTACTGGACCTCCCAGTATCCTTGGGTCCTGGGGCAAAGGAGGAGAGAGACTGGATGGGCTTCTTACTGCTACAGTCCAGTGGTGACACCTGTCCCTTCTCACATTTCATTAGCCAATCTAGTCACATGGCCCCACCTAACAGCAAGAGAGGTGGAAATACTGTAGGCAAGAACATGGACTGTTTGGTGAGCATTCTGGTCTCTGCCAGTTAGTGACATGTAAGCAGTTGCTGACTTTAAATTCTTAAGGGCTGAGACTAGAACCACTTTGCTTTTGTGTTATAAGCACATGGACACACAGTAGCCATTGAACGATTTTTGTTGTTGTTATTGTTGGTGTTGAATAACTGTTCTTGAGCTTGGATTCAGCTTAAGTCACTTCTCTTACTATCTCTCCACCACCTCCCCGAAAGCCTCAGTAGGTGTCTCTTCTCTTCCCATGATGCCGTGGTGGTGCCCTGTTCATAACTCAACCAAAGCATTCCCAACTCTGTATAATTATGCTTTTTTTTTCTTAGTCCACTGGATACCTTTAGAGCAGGAAATATGCTTTTCATGTTCTTTAAAAAACTTGCTGGACATGGTGGCAGTCTGGGCAACTTAACAAGACCCTGTCTCAAACTTTAAAGAGAAAAGGACTGGGGATGTTGCTCAGTAGGAGAGCACTTGCCTAGCATGAACAACGAAAGCACCACCAAAAAAAAAAAAAAAAAAAAAAAAGGAAAAGTAATTAAGAAATAAAACATTGCTGTATTTCTCTCTCCCTCCATTAGATTTATCATTCTCACTTTTTTAAAAATTCTTTTGTTGTACATGGGTGTCGTAGTTGATATGATGATCTTCTTTCTGTGTCCACATGGAAAACAAATTGTTCCTGCCTTGTTGATTCCTGCCTGCTGTATACAGTCACTATATCATGAGCCTAACAGTGTGTTTATCCATCTCTGTGCTGTCACCTGTCTCAATGACTAAAGCTTCATAAAGGTCTGGTTCTTGGTTGACCGTACTCCACTATGATCTGTCTTAAAATTGCAGTGGTTTTAATTTCTGCATCTCCAGTCCTGGCTTGTGATGGTGCCTATTGAATATATTTTGAACAAATGATAAATTCTAGGATTCCCCCCCTTAGCACGTTACTTTCGGAACCTTTTAGGAACTTTGTCACTTAATTTATTTTTTAGACTATTTTGTGTGTCGAAATTAAACTTCATGATAAGAATTTAATGTTCAAGGCCCTGGGTTCAGTCCCCGGCATCTTCCCCCTCCCCCAACAAATAATTTACTGACCAGAACACCGTTTAGCATTTTACAAGGCAGGAAGGAGTAAGGCCCTGCCTAAGTAAACAGCTTACTCTTTTGTTTTGGGGTTTCTGGCAGTAAGTTTTCAACAGGTTGTCAAGGAAACTTACTGAGGAGAGCTATTTACCAGTAATAGTGTTTGCTTTGAAGTGTGACTAAAAGTAATGAGGCGTTATTACAGATAGTCTTACTTCATAGTCTAGCTTTGAATGTGTGAAGCAATAACACAAGCTAGATTTACCAATTACTCTTTCACAATGATTGAAATTTAAAAATTGATTGGTTATATTTTATGTCAGAGTTTTCCTTTTCTTTGCTTTACCTTTGAAATGTTCCCATTTGGACTAAACCTTGGCTGAATGGACCTAGTCAGCCTTTGAAGTCATGCTTAGGTTTAGAAAGGCTGGAAAACATTTTTCTAGGAGGCAGGGGAAGAGGGACTTTGTTGTCATTTATATAACAAATTAGTAAAGGATTAATTGATTTTACTGCTTTTTCTTCTCGGCTCTTTCTCATCGATTAGATTGCAGACGTGCTGCTGGGATTGCAGGCATGTTCACCATCACACCCAGCTCACGATCTGAAAACTGGGTTTTGAAAACTTGAGATGAAATTCATGTAACATAACATTAGCTGTTTTAAAGTAAATAATTCATTGATATTTACTGCTTCTTATCTACTTTCAGAACACTTTGGTCTCCCTAAAATAAAACCTGTGCCAGTTAAGCACTTGCTAACCATTTCTCCTCCCTCCCAGTCCCTGTCAACAACCAGTCTGTTTTTTTCTCTATGAATTTACTTGTTGTACATATTTCATATAAATGGAATCATTTTGTGTCTGACTTCTTGTAGTGTAGTGTTTCCAAGTTTATTCATGTTGTGTGTCAGCAGTTCATTCTTTTTATGACCAAATAATATTCCATTGTGTGAATATGCTGCTTTTTTTTTCTTTTCTTTTTTTTTTTTTAAATACTGGGAATTGAACCCAGGGGCACCTAACCACTGAGCTACATCCCCACTCTTTTTATTTTTTATTTTGAGGCAGGGGGCAGGGTCTCACTGTTGCTTAGGACCTCACTAAATTGCTGAGGCTGGCCTCAGCCTCCTGAGTCTCTGGGATTGCAGGTGTGCACCACCATACCCAGCTATATTTTGTTTGGATATCATCCTCTTTGATAGACATTTGGGTTATTCTGAATAGCACTGCTTTGTACACTTATGTGCAGGGTTTTGTTTGAGTTTTTATTTTTAGTTCTTTTGTGTATATACCTAGAAATTACTAGGTCATGTGGTAATAGTTTTGTATGTGTGCAGTGTTGGAGATATAAAGCCAGGGCTTCCTACATGGCAGACAAGTGCTCTACAACTGAACCTTATCCCCAGTTCTGGTCATACAGTAATTTTATGTTAACTTTTTTTTTTTTTTTTTTTTGGTACTGGGGATTGAACCCAGGAGTGCTTATCCACTGAGCTGCACCCTCAGCCCATTTAATTTTTGAGACAACATCTCACTAAGTTGCCCAGGATGACATCAAATATGCGATCCTCCTGCCTCAGCCTTCCAAGTTGCTGGGATTATAGATATGCACCAGTGCACCCAGATTATGTGAATTTTTGAGGAAACACCGAACTGTTTTCAAAATTATTCACAATGGCTGAATCATTTTGCCTTCTACCGGCAATGTACAGTTTCTTCATATGCTTGCCAGCACTTGTTGTGTCCCTTTTGTTTGTATTAAGGCTATCCTTATGGGTATGAAGTATTGTGATTTTACATTTCCCTAATGACTAAGTGATGCTGAGCATCATTTCATGTGTCTATTAGCCATTTGTATGTCTTCTTGGAAATGTTGTCTTTTGTTGAATTGTAAGAGTTCTTTTTATATTTTAGATACTGTGACTTTATTAGACTCATGATTTGCAGTTATTTTCTTCTGTTCTTTTGTCTTTTCACATTCTTTTTTTTTTAAGGTGGTTACAGTATCTTTATTTTATATTTATGTGGTGCTGAGGATCGAATCCACTGCCTCATGCATTCTAGGCAAGTGCTCTACCACTGAGCCACAGCCCAGCCCCATGTCTTTTCACATTCTTGACAGTGTTCTTGGATGCCTAGAAGTTTTAAATTTTGATAGAGTCCAATTTGTCATTTTTTATTTTGTTATTCATGCTTTTGGTGTCATATTCAAGAATTTGCCAAATCCAAAATCATGAAGATTTAATCTTTATGTTTTCTTTTTTTTTTTTTTTTTTTTAGTTTCAGCTCTTAAATTTAACTTTGGTTCATCTTGAGTTAATTTTGTATATGATCTGAAGTAGGGGACTCTTTTTTAATGGCAAAATTTCATGGAGCCTCTGCGTTATACTGTGAGTATTCTTTAATTGAACATACATACGTACCAACAACAACAACAAAAAACTACTGTGGATTTCATAGAAAGTGAAATTATTCTGCATTGTATTAATCAAAGCAGAACTTACATAGTTTTTTCAAAATACTACATGTAAGACATTATTTCTTTCAGTTTGTAACAGATATGGGTTCATGCCCTTTCCCTAACTTCATGGTCTCCACTCAGTTTGCACATCACAGGTGTTGTAGGTGAGAATCGGGAGAATCTGCCATGGCAGGGAAACAGGAATTAAGGATGAGGATAGAATTTCCAAAGCCCCTTAATTGGAGAGACCTCAAGGGGGAGAGAGGCAATGACTGGAAGGTCAGTGACCAGAAGGCATTGGGGTAAATGGGCCAGAGAGGGCAACAGAATGACTGCAGAGCAGAAGTGAAGAGCTCACAGGGAAAATGGCTTAGAACAGGGAGGCCCAGTCATCATCATCAGAGAGGAGATTCAGGAATAGTTAAGCATTCCTTTAGTTTTAGAAATAATGCCAATCCAACTCTACCTTCCAATTAGAGTCCAACTGACTTTGCTTAGCATCTGTCCCAAAGTTGGGAAGGGAAAGGAAGTAGAGACATTTAAATTTTATTTCAGCTGTGATCAGAATACTGGTTTAAGTTTCAATTACTAAAGCTGTATTCTTTTTTCTTTAATTAGTGAAACTATATTTTATGACAGTGTTTGGTATGTGGTTTGTTTAGTTTTCTTTCCATTAATAACATTTCCTAGTTTAAAAAGTCCGGATTTATTTCCTCTGAGAGAATGATAAAAATAATATTCTGCTTCTCCCATAGAGGAAGGTTCTCATTACACCCTTAGAGCTTAGAGAACAGGATGGTGAGCTACATTGGCCTGTGGCCACCTGATAGAACAAGAATTTGGACACACAAGAGGGAGAACTGTGGACGGAAAGCATTGGACCATGGTGGCAACCACAGCCAAGGGTGCCTTCCGACAGCTCTCTTGGTGCTTACAAGCCCTTTAGTAGCATTTTTTAAAGTTGTCTTTTGGTAACTTTGTCAGGTATATGTTCAGTGGGCTTTAGAGAAAGGGACAGGGAGGAGATGAGACTGAGGACTGAGTCTGAGGAGAGGTCAAGCAGGTACCCTTCTGTTTTTACTAGGCAGAGTGTCCTTTTGAAATGAAACAGAAACCTATCTTATAAAAAAGCAATTTGGAGAGGCATAAATAAGGAATGGGTCTTAATTATAACTTCAGTGTTTGTGGGGTTTAAACTACATTTGTCCAAATGTCTTTTAAAATTTTTAACCCTTTCCGTGTGACCTCTGTGACTTCAGGTGCTGCTGGTGAGCAGTAGTCGCCATCCAGACCGATGGATTGTCCCTGGAGGTGGCATGGAGCCTGAGGAGGAGCCAAGTGTAGCAGCAGTCCGTGAAGTTTGCGAGGAGGTATGTACTGAAGCAAAGGGCGCAGCTGAACCTCGTGACCATGAGCCTGTCCTATCTGTGTGATTCTTTATTGTATCACCACCCACTGAATAAGCATACTTAAGATCACAGAGATACCATCTAAGGTTACCATGTGTCTTCTTGATTAAAGGAATGATTGGGTGTGACGTGGTAATGTTTATCAGACACTCATAGTAGTAGTAACTATATCCAGTGATACCTGACAGTCCTTTGTGACTTTCCATGGATCTCCTCCAACACTGCCTGTTACCTGTGGCAGAGGATCAAGTATCAGCCCTAAGAAACAAAACAGTCTGCATTAGTATAATAGCTCATTCTCATTAACCTTGGGATGAGGAGGAAGAAGAGACCCTTTTCTCCTGTGCTTCCTGGATCCTACCCATGAAATAAATGGTGGCTAAAGCAACAGTTCTGTTAGCCGGAGCTGGTAATGGTGCAGCTTGAAAAAAATGACAGCATCTTCTTTTTTATTTAGTCATATGGTATTCAACATACATGTAGTAAGTTCCTAGGCCATAATATAAGATTCTTCCAAATAAACAGAAAAAGTCAAGTCATGGGCCCTTAGTTCCCATATTTCATGATTTTGCAGTCTGGAGGAAGCTGAGAAACAGACTGAAATTTAGAATCAAGAGGAAGKAACTGATGTTTCTCCATAGCCTGTTGTGGCAACACCATGCTCTGCTCTGCCTATGGTATCTCATTTAGGACTCATAATTAATTGTATAAGGTTTATTGTCCTCATGTTCTTACCCTGGCACACATAAATCCCTTTCCTTGTTCTAGAGGGCATTTAAGACTAACATATAAAGTGACATTAGGGCTAGTCTACATTCTACATTTGTTTTGGGTCTAGCTCTTGTTGAGGTCCCCTTAGACTAATTGTATCCTAAGAACATCCTAGGATTTCTCATTGCAAACTCCTACAGGCTTACATTGGCTTATGTCTAACTCATTTTATCTTGTATTTGGTATCTGTAACTGGATTGTAATCTCCAAAGGCAAAAATCATATTTCCCATATAAAATTCCCCTCTTCCTGAGCCTAATACACATACTAAATAAATAAAGAATAATATTAATACATAGATCTGTGCTAGATGGAACAGTGGCTGGAATAATGCAGATTCTGAAGAAATACCCAAAATGGAAATGATTAGATACAGGAAATGATAAACATCAACAGAGTAGACATGAGAAGGCGTTCTCACAGTGGCTGCTGAGGAGACTAACCTGGTGGAACCAAATGGAATCCAGAGGGTGTATGATGAAAGGAAGTCAGCCATGGAAATCTTGGTTTCTCATTCTGTTAGTTAAAAGCTACGTGACCTGTGGAAAAAAAATAGTTTTAAACTCTCTGAACTTGGCCCCTCACTTGAATATCTTCCTGTTTACTCCACCATGGGAGGAGGGGAGATAGAGTGAGGTTCAAATGAGAACATGAGTATGAATGTCCTTTGTAAATAATATGTGACTCTTATCTGTTAAGATGTATGCAGGGGAAAAGAATATGTCCTTATTATTCAATAACAGGTTTATCATATCACATCACAAGTCCCAGGTTGGCTGACTCAGCGGTACCAAGAGCCCCGGGCTTTCCCACCTTTTTGTTCCACCATCCCTGGTACATTGTATTTTGTTCCTGAGCTCCTCTCCTTGTGGTCACCATGTGGCTTCTCCTGTTCCACCTTCACATGCTCTTCAAATACAGGATAAATAGTTTTGCCTTAGGGGGTGTCTCTTTTTATTTGGAAGAAAGAAACCTTCCCTGGGAATACCCCTGTAGACTCTTTATGTTTGGTGGTCCAGAGTTGCTTCATAAGCCCATGCTTAAACTAGGCCCCAGCAAAGGGAATGACAGTTCCGTGTACAAACTGCTAGCCTTGGGCTGGGAGTGTGGCTCAGTGGTAGAGTGCTCGCCTAGCCACATGAGGGACTGGGTTCAAACCTCAGCACCACATAAAAATAAAATATAGATATTATGTCTACCTACAACTAAAAAATAAATATTAGAAAAAAATGGTAGCCTTTACTGACTAGGGTTTCAGAAGCCTTTTAAGACTTGAATATAAAACAATTTAAAAGCATAACCAATAGAAGATAAAATCTTTATCTTGTTAAAAATACTTATATTGCAATGTGACACTATATCCTCATTCTATAGTGTAAAAGAATGGACAGATAATATATACTTTTAGAGTGGAAAAATTCATTATGCAGGTCAGACAGTCTGTGTTGCAACTACTTAACTCTGCCATTGTAAGGCAAAAGTAGCCAGAGATAACACATAATACATAACAAAATGGACCTGCATTTCAGTAAAGCTTTATTTATAAAACCAGTGATGAAAGATTTTTTTTAAAAGTTGTTTAAATAAAAACAGAAACGGTGAGAGCCTTTGAAACTCAGTGTGGCTGCTCCACCAGCACTGTCTGTGTCACCATTTCTTGTTAGAAACAGAAAACCTCAGGCTTTACTCCAGACCTAGTCTCCAAATCTGATTTTACTTTTGTGTGTGTGTGTGTGTGTGTGTGTGTGTGTGTGTGTGTGTGTGTGGTGCTGGGGATTGAACCCACGGCCTTGTGCATGTGAGGCAAGCACTCTACCAACTGAGCTATATCCCCAGCCCTCAGAATCTGATTTTAAATAAGATCCTCAGATGATTTGAGAACCCACTGTATTAGAATATTGAATTTGTATAAAGAAGTGTTCTGAGAATTCCTCTCCATGGGGTGTGGAGAGAACTTGCTCTGTAAGGGCTGGATTCTGATTGGCTGTTTGCATATCCATTGTAGTTCCTTTGGGACATGGTGAGACTAGAACACTCAAAAGTGCTTTTCCCACACTCTCCTCAGTCTCAACTAAGTCTCCCTGGTGAACTGAGGTTTGCCCGATGTAAAGCACTTGCACAAGACGGCTTAAGGTAGTCACAAGGAGAGAAGCAGGTCAGGTTCTGAGGGTAGCCGGCCCATCCTTTTGGTGACACACATTTTGACAGAGCAGATGTGGTCTGAATTGGCAGCTATAGTGTCAGCTTCCTGATTTGGCTGGTGCCTTTTGTTTGGCAGCTTCCTGGTCCATCCTTAAGGGAGCAGCTCCCTTGGCAGCCCAGTCTGCAGTGTGTTTTGGGGTGTTGTTCCTGGCACCTTGCCTAGCAGTCTGTTTCTTCAGCTCTCCCAATGGTTCTGTAAGCTGTTTTTATTTATTGCTTGACAAATTCTTCTCTTGAACTAATCAGATTGGTTTCTGTTGACTACAGTTAAGAATCTTGACAATTTATTAATTGGGTCTTGGGTTTTTTTGGTGGTAAGTTTTTTGAATTCATGATATTTTCTGGATATAATCCTCTTTTAGAAGAGTGACTAGCAAAGATTTTTCTCTCATTCTGTAAGTTATCTTTTTGTATTCTTTTTAAATTTTTTTTTATTTTTTAGTTGTAGTTGGACAGAAAGGTATTGTACATTTTTTTAAATTCATTTTTATGTGGTGCTAAGGATCGAATCCAGGGTCTCATACATGCTAGGCTAGCGCTCTATGCTGAGCCACAACCCCAGCCCCTCTTTTTATATTCTTAATTGCTTCCTTTGCTATGCAGAAGATTTTTAAATTGATGCCATCCCATTTACTAACTCCTGGCATTTTTTTCTGAGCTTTAGGGGTCCTGTTGAGAAAGTTGTTGGAATGTTGACACTACATTTTCTTCTAGAAGTTGCATAGTTTCTGGTCTAACTTATAGATCTTTGATCCATTTTTAGTTGATTTTTGAGCAGGGTGAGAGAGAAGGGTCTAGTCTCATTCTTCTACATATGGATAACCAGTTTCCCTGGCACCATTTATTAAAAAGACTGACTTTTCTCCAATGTTTGTTTTTGGCATCTTTGTCAAAGATCAGATGACTGGGTTTGTCTGTGTGTCTTCTATTCTGTACCACTGCTCTATGTGTCTGCTTTTATATTAGTACCATGACTTTTTATTTATTTGTTTGTTTATTTGAATGTGAGTGTGTGTGCTGGGGATTGAACCCAGGGTTTTGTACTTGCAACTGAGCTGTATCTCCAGCCTCTATGAAGTTCTTGTTCCTATAGTTCTGTAGTATAATTTGAATTCTCAACAATTCTATTTTTGTAATGCTTGCTTGGATTTGACATCTGTCCCAGGAAAGCTGGCCTTAGTTGTTGTTACTATTGCTGTTTGTTTTTTGTTTGGTTTGGTGTTATATTTGAATTAGCTTGCATTACAGGAGTACAGCTAAGATGTAGAATAGATAATAACAGTTATTATGTCATTGGTTGCAATAGGAAATGCAGTGAGTGAGTATGGAAGGATATAGGGTACTATGCTTACCATTTGTTCCTTGGAAATTTTTTTTTTTTTAAAGAATTTTTTTTAATTGTTGATGTACCTTATTTTATTCATTGATCTATATGTGGTGCTGAGAATAGAACTTGGTGCCTCACACACATGAAGCAAGCGCTCCACCACTGAGCCACCACCCCAGCCCGTTCCTTGGAAATTTGATTCCGTTCCTCTGTGGGTAAACGGAAGGATAGCGAGAAATAGAAATGAAGTGTTTGTTGGGCTGGGGATGTGGCTCAAGCGGTAGCGCGCTCGCCTGGCATGCATGTGGCCCAGGTTCCATCCTTAGCACCACATACAAAGATGTTGTGTCCGCCGAAAAAACTAAAAAAAAAAAAACTAAAAATATATTAAAAATTCTCTCTCTCTCTCTCTCTCTCTCTCTCTCTCTCAAAAAAAAAGTGTTTGTGAAACAAGGAAATAAAATATGCAGCACAGATCATTAAATTATATTCCTCATATACTTAATGTCTTACCTGCTATTCATTATCCTATCTTGAAGTGAATCCTGATCTTGAGATTAAGCCCCTCTGCCATTCTCAGCCCTTATGAATCCTGCCTAACCTTACATATTTTTTCTCCTGCAAACAAAGGAGAGTTCATTTCATCATACCCCATACTTTA